GAGAGAGAGAAAGAGAAGGAGAGGAGGAGGAGAAGAAAGGAGAGGAGGAGAAAGAGAAGGAGAGAGAGGGAGGAAAGAGAAGGAGAGGAGGAGGAGAAAAGAAGGAGAGGAGAGGAGAGGAGGAGGAGGAGAGGAGGAGAGGAGGAGGAGGAGGAGAGGAGGAGGAGGAGAGTAGAGAGGAGAGGAGGAAGAGAGTAGGAGAGAGGGGGAGAAGGAGAGTAGGAGAGAGGAAGGAGAGAGAGAGGAGGGGAGAAGGAGAGGGATAGGGAAAGGGGGTGGAGAGGAAAGGGAGGGGAGGAAAATGAAGCACAAAGAGGAGAAGAGAAATTGGAGAAGGAGAGCCGGTGTGTGGGTGTGAGTTGCTTGTGAGACCAAGTGGGCATGACTAATGTGAATTAAACATGAATGAGCCAGAATAATGGAGAAACAGTACGAGCTATCAAGAATGACAAAAAATGACACTGAAATGACAGTCAGAAAGCTCGGGAAACTGAGTGAGTAGCACAAATCATTATTAGTTTTAGTCTACTATTGAGATCATAAAAATCTTTCACATGTAATCCAGAAGAAAGACAAGTTGTTAAACAAGCACTTGATGCAAAAGTAATGTTACACTAAACCTCCCCTTTCAACTACACAGAAACCTGTCAGCTGCACAACTGAGAAAAAGTAGCATTTTCTTCTTTTTTCCTCCTTTTCAAACTGATCAAAAATGTGTTTTAAACTTTAGTAATTTCCAGTATTTTAAAAAGTTGTTCTTGTTTTATATTTGGTTTAGTTTGGAGTCCCATGCTTTGTTTTGATGTGGATCTTCAAGTTACTGAGGCGGTTCGCACGGTGGGGGCAGTGAGGGCAGTGAAAGGGCTTCTCTCCTGTGTGTGTCATCATGTGGTAGTGGAGGTGCTGCTGCTTGTTGCGCCCGTTGAACAACTTGCCGCATACTGGGCATACTTTGGGGACCTTTGTGCCGAGCGACATGCCCACTGGGATGTCATGCCTGCCCTGAAAAGACAAAACACCGTGCTCTCAGTGACATGCCTTCCATCCAGGTAGTCATTATCCACTCTCGCTGGCTGTCTATACGTACAAAAGGCCCTGGACTATGTCTTCCTTTTTTGGGGGGTAAGCCTACTCCTGCGTGCTTTTATTTATGGGTGCCTCCAGGTGTACTGGCCACCATCACAACTATTTACTGAGACATGGTGGAGAGGGCCACATCCACCCCATGAATGCTTCGTATGTGTTCTCGCAAGTGGTCTCTACGACTGGTCCTGTGGGCGCAGAAGGGACACATGTGTGGCTTCTCGCCTGTATGTGTCTTGATGTGGTGACTCAGGTGTTGGCGGCGGTTCCTGCCCTGGAAGACCTTACGGCACACAGGACACATCAAGGGCGGACGCATGGTCTGGAAAGAGAATACATCCACCCCTCAGGATATCAAGTTCCTCTTGATGCATTTGGATAGCAATAGAACAGACAGAAGAGAGGCTACACGAACTCCTCTGGCCATGGGAAGCTACACAAGTCTGCCGCCATTTACGTGTGCCCTGAAGCGTGGGACGAGTCTTGGAATCGTCTCATTATCTCCCCACCTATATTTCCTGGAAGTTCCTCCAGGTGCCTCAGTTTCATATGAGTCTTGAGGTTATCCTTGCGGTTGGCCCTGTGGGGACAGAAGGGGCAGTGGAAGGGCTTCTCGCCCGTATGAATGTTGAGATGGGTGGAAAGGTGCTGCCTCTTGTTTCTGCCAGAGAATGCCTTGTTGCACACGTGGCACGTCAGGGGCACGTCGTTGGTTATCGCCCCCTGCAACAGAGAACACCCTCTTCTTAGCACCACACCACCATGCACTCAGCTACATACTGTTTAAAAATTGTAGCACTGTTATATAACAAAGAAGAAGTTGTCCAAGTCTTACCAGCCTAAGTATTGGTCTATCAAATCTTTAAAAGTCCCCCAAGTCATGATCTACAGCATCAAAAGATTTTAGCACTGATAAGGTGGCCTGGTCCTGAATCTGACTCTCTAATGAATTGGCCTCAACTACTTGTGTTGGGTTGGGTTGGGGGGGTTCTGAGGTCAGGATTTGGTCGAGGAGTCTGTCTCAGATGGCTGAGCGAATGTGTTTTCATGTTATCACTGCGATTGGCACGTGTGGCAGTAGGGACACTGGAAGGGCTTGTGGCCTGTGTGCGTGATCATGTGGTACTGGAGGTTCTGACGTTTATTCCTCCCGCTGATTATCTTCCCACACACTGGACACAAAATCGCCTCCCCACTGCCTCTCGAGCTCACGCCCGCCTGCAAAGACAAGGCACCGCATCAGCCCGCCCATTTTTGCCCAAAGGATTGCATGTCAATAGTAAACACAAAGTCTTAGTGACTTCCTTATCTTCCCTTGTCATCTTAAGTAATACTGGTACATCTGCCTTTCATAACTTGCAATCATCTTCAATGTCTTAGTAATCACCTCTGAAGGGTTTAATTTGAAAAACACACATATAGAACAAAGAGAACCAAAAATAATAGCAGGAAATATAAAAATAGCACCATTAAATTTGAAAAAAAGAATCATCAATACAATTGAAAGTGGATAAGCTATTCATTATATACAGTTGTAAAATCTTGCTTACTTAAAAACTCACTCATGTTTTTAAGGTTCTCATCACTAAAAATCAATACTTTCTCTTACTTCAAGAACATGGCAGAACAAGAAGCATGTCTTGATAGAAAATGCCAATAGCTCCGCAGCAGGATCAGGTTTTACTTTCCACTGACTACTTAGGATAAGGAAGGCGAGTATCCTTCATCTCGTGAAGGAATAAGAGGTAGGATTGAACTGTGCTTGTGCATGTTGGTGAACCAGGTTAGCATGGACTGTGAGGATGTGCCTTCTCAGAGTGGGGCGATGGCTGCTGCGGTAAGGACAGTGTGGGCACAGATGTGGTCTCTCCCCAGTGTGAGTCAGTAAGTGCTGCTTCAGGTTATTCTTTCTTGATCGGCCCATAAACAACTTGCCACACACGTTGCACTGTAGAACATTGTCCCCGCAACCTTTCTGCAAAGCAAACACACACCCTCAGCTCAAACCCAGTCCATACATATTTAGTAGCCGGATGAACAAGCCATATCAACTTTAGGATCTTTTTGAATTCCCCATTTCTATCCAAAAGGTTTTGGTTGTTGTGTTGTTGTTGCTTTTATTTAATCATTAAAGTATTTCTAATCTTCAATTAACCTGATAACAGTAAGCTACAAATGGGAGTAAGCATCGGGCGTTGTAAAGACAGCTGGCATGGAAGAGAATGCAGGAGCTCTATGCACTGCTCGAATGTGCTTGACAAGGTTCGGCTTGTGGTTAGTCCTGTGTGGGCAGTGCGGGCAAAGATAGGGTCGTTCGCCTGTATGAGTCAGGATGTGCTGTTTCAAATTAGTCTTCCTAGAACGACCAGAGAACACCTTGCCGCACTCGCTGCACACCACAACGTTCTCCTCACAACCACTCTGCAAAGCAAACACACACCCTCAGCACAAACATTCTCTTCCTTGGATAACCAATGACCGATAACCAACTACAGGGGTTAAAGTGGAGGAAACAAAGTCCAGCCCATTTGGTCTCTCAGCAAAGGTGACATAATTTTAAATAAATTCTCTGCAAGACAGAGCCTTTCTCCAAACAATGCAATTTTCTACTATTGTAATAACATGTTTTTCTTACTTATTTTTGCTTTGCCCAAACATTAATCCTGATTCGAAATGTGAGGATTCACTGATGTGGGAAGGAAAGTAGGTGCAGCAGGAGCATTGGACAAGCCTGCAAACGACCCTGAGGAGAGAGCCTGCCCCTGTGAAGACCCATGAACAGACCGAATGTGTTTGAGGAGATTGGGCTTATAATTGGCTCTGTGTGGGCAGTGCGGGCAAGTGTACGGTTTCTCTCCAGTGTGAATGAGGAGGTGGTGGCGTAGATTCTGTCGACAGTTCTTGCCCGTGATGCAGCGACCACACACTGGGCATGTGAGGTACTCCCTAGGCTCCTCAGGCCCCACTACGCTGCCAATCAGCCCCTGTAACAAAACCACGCACTCAGTGGCTGCCGCTTCAAGTACGAGCCTATGCCTTAATTTATGAATTTATCAACATTAAAGCAGGGATCTTTGTTACTCTTTTAAAGGGGTATCCTTAAATGATTTCATTATATTCCCCATCCCTACCCATCATGTCTTATTTAAATTTTATTTATCATAATTCTGTTCAGACGATCTCTCATTGGGTCATTATTATTTTTGTTTCTGTTCAACTCTCTCCTACAGACCTTAATTTCACACTATGTTATTAAATCTTTTTTTCTTTTTTCTTCTCTCTCTCTCTTTTAACCAAACCACTCTATCTGAGAACAATTACATGTAGGTATGCTTTTCATAAAACTTTTTATTTCTTCAAATATACATTTTATTCAATAATTAACTACAGAGTCACATACAAACTCTCTCTCTCCATTTTCTTTAAACTATTTCAAGAAACTCGCCTCTATACAATTTGAAAATAAAACAAAGAATCTTTGGGTTTACAAATGACAGGAGGAAACTTGAAGAGACAGCAGCATATTCCCTAAATCCGCTCAGCATGCAATAAGTTACATTGTGTGTTCTTAACAAGCAAGACATACTCATTCACAGAATACTAGCAAACAAATTTCCTCGTATTAGATGTACCTACCAATAAGAGACATGAAGCTATGCTTTCTGTGTATATATATATTTATATAAATATTTTCTTTACTTCAGTTACCAATGATGCACTTCTTAACAAATAAAAAACATTCTTCTGATAGTTCATGAGAAACTCATAACAACTCTATATAAAAAGAAAATATATTGAAAACCAAAAACACATAAATTCATAGACTGTTAGACTTTGATCTAGTAAAAGAAACTTCATTGTGAAACTCCCAGTCTGAATAAATCTTTAGTGTTGTTTCTTCTAGTAGGCTATAACATTCCAAGTGTTCATGGTAAGTTATAACAACAGAGGAAAGCACTGATAGAGAATCTTAATCAAGGGTGATGATTAGGGGAGAAGGGGAGTGGGGAGAAAGGAAGTGGGGAGTAGGTTAGAGTGGGAGAGAGGGTGGAGGAAATGCTTGGTGAATCAATAGGCTCCAAACAGTGAAAGACAAATGAAAATTTCATTACAGCAATTCAATTCCTTTAATACTTATTTAATGATCTAACTTTGTCATGGTCTGGAGATTACAGCAAATATCAATTACTTCAACTATGGTACAGCCAGCTCTGCCATGACACCTATTGTGTAGTTGTGTGAGGTGGGACTCGATGTATGGCTCTGATGTGCTTGATGAGATTGGACCTGAGGGCAGTGCGATGTGGGCAGTGTGGGCAGACATGGGGTCGCTGGCCAGTGTGCGTAAGGAGGTGGCTCTCGCGCCGCTGACGCAGGTTTCTGCCCCTGAACTCCTTCCCACACACCTCACACACCAGGAGTCGCTCTTCAGAGGTCACACCCATCGCTGCCAACGATCCCTGGAACGGAGACACTAGCCATTCCAGCATGTCCACACAGCGCTCTAACACAAAAGATGTGAGTAACACGTGCACTTCCACAAAGAATCTCAAAGGTCTTTTTTTTATCCTTTTTTTTTTTTTTATTACTATTATTTACAGGAACACTTGCCACAATCCCCAGAGAACTACCAAACACTAATGGCCACTCATAAATCTTTTATCAAGTGTGATCTGCAACCCCTTGGGTGTCCTCCATCAGCCGGGCCAACCCAGACATAGTGATGGAGGGGCCCATGGAAGGAGGGCTCCCTCAGAAACGTGGAGGATGGCAGCGTCTGTGCTACACCATGTGTGGGAGGGGCATCTCTAAGGACGAAGTGATCTCTATGGACTGGCGAACATGCCGATCCAAAGTAAACTTGTGATGTGCACGGTAGGGGCAGAAAGGGCAGTGGTGGGGCGCTCTCCTGAATGAGTCGACAGGTGGTACTGGAGACGCTGTCGACGGTTGCGACCTGTGATGAGCTTGCCACACACAGAGCAGGCCAGCGCCTCGGCCTCACCCCCACCAAGCTTCCCGCTGCGACCCCCGCCCTGTAAAGAATGACACCATCTGAAGCCCTCTACCACTAAGGTCTGCAAAGGATGGAACCCATCTGCTTATCAGACTGAGTCAAAAGAAAATGGGAGAAAAATATTATTATCCCCATCTCACCACACTACTCAGTCAGAAAAGGTTCAGGCCAATTTACATCTTCACATCTTGCTCATGCATGGCTGTTGGTGCGCGACATTTGGGTTTTAACTCGAGACATATAATGTGGCCTTCTCTCTTTTACTCCAGTTATTCTGCTATGAAACTGACACTTGTGTTTTAAATAATCAATGATTCCAAGTCTCTGTATTGGACGTCTGGATATTCCTTGCATTCCAGTTCTCCAGCTGCATCGCCTGAGAACTCTGCAAGTCTCTGTGCACCGTTCGAATGTGGCGATTGAGGTTGAACTTGAGGCTAGCACGGTGAGGCAGTGTGGACATTGGAAAAGTCTCTCACCAGTGTGGGTCAGCATATGGTACCTGAGTTTTTGCTTGCCATTAATGCCACTCACGCTCTTGCCACAGACGGGACACACGACTGGCGCCACCGCCTGCAACAGAGAGGGAGCGTCCATCACTCCTGCACACCCACCACACATCACTTGGGTCATTAAAAAAGAAAAGGAAAAATAGAAAGGAGAGAAAGAAGAAAAAGATGTAATAAGGCAGGCATCATGGTTAACAGAAGAGCAGCACACAACTAATAAGAAACCCAAAATAAAAGCAAAATTTTCAGTAGAAAAAAAAGAGGATAAATAGGGAAGAGGAAAAAATTTGCATATATTATATAATGATCAATAAAGACACAGATTGTCATGAATATCTGAACAATTCGAATTGAAACCTAATTTTTTATATATACAAACACAAAAATGCTTGAGACAAAAGGATTGGTGCACAACACTGCCTATGCAAATTTTAAACTGTGAATCAGATCCCTTTGTGCTTCCCTTCATATATCTCCATGAAGCCCATATCAAAATGAAACCTTTTCCATTTTTAAGTTTTTAAAAAAAGCACAGAGGTAAAACTACAGAGCCCCCACTGGAGAGATAGCAAGTTCCACAACTAGGTGTGAGTAGTGGCACGCAAGGCCTCGAGGGCCGGGGCCAGAGGGAGGCATCAGAACTCAGCTGGGGGACAGTTGGCAGCCAGCTGGTCCTTGTGGAGAGCACGGATGTGCTTATGCAGGTTGAACTTGAGTCTGGCTCGGTGAGGGCAGTAGGGGCAGGCATGGGGCTTCTCGCCGGTGTGGGTGAGCGTGTGATACCGCAGCCGCTGGTGTTGGTTGCGCCCGGCAAACACCTTGTTGCAGAAGGGACACATCAGGGCCCGAGGGGCAACGCCTGCAACACAACACCACAGTCACAACCACCAC